AATTTGTCTAAAAAAAGGCATTTGGGGTTCTCATGGATTGTAAACTCAATATGTGTTAACAGTGTAATATACCAGTTAAGAAAGCTAATTATGCTGCATTGAGTCACAGTGAACTTTGTAGATGATAGTCCTATTAGCCTGGTTAGATGCCTTCTGAAGTGTTATATTCTGTTCTGGTTGCCACATTTTAGGAAATTGGTCAATAAGCTAGATTTTTTTTCCTAGGAAAAAGCAATCAGAATGATGAAAGGTCTCAACTCCAAGTCATATGAGGATTCATGAAGGAAAAGTTGATATATAACCTGAAGAAAAGATTTATGGGAGACCAATAATAGTTATACTCAAATATATTAGAAAAAAACTATCATACGGAAGAGGAATTAAGCTTATTCTGTTTGGCCCCCAAAACAAAATCATGAGCAAAGAATGGAGGGTGTTAAAAGGTAAAATTAGATTTGATATTCAAACAATAAAAAAATTTTTCAAAACAATTATAGGTATCTTAAAATGAAATGGGCTCCCTTGAGGGGTAGGGGTTCTAGTTTATTGGAGGTCTTTAAGCAAAGATTGCACAACCTTTTATCATATATGGCATTGTGGCAATTACTTTTCAGACATGGGTTATACTTTTATAAGATCACTGAAGTCTTTTCCAACTCCAAAAATCTATGGACTTCAGAAAAGAATTGTAAAGCATAAGATGTAAATGATTTAAAGTTACATTTAAGGATGCTATTAATATTATTAGACAACAGAATATTCATTAAAAAAACTATTTGGTTGTTCATTAAAGTATAACATTTCTAATTTTCATCTATCTGTCCTACAATAAAGATTAATAAAGGCAAGAATCTCACAATTGCTTTCCAAAGTCATGGAGTTCTTTGTTGTACATAACTTATGTTGACATTAATCAGATAAACTTTTGTCATGCTCTTATGCCAAAAAGAAAAGAAAACATTTGTTCTCTTTTTTCCATACCTAATACAGTGTATTTTATTATGACAATCATTGTAATCATATGATACGGTTTTGATATCAAAGCATTAAATGAGATTTAATGTATATATTAACTAAAAACAAATTAAAAAAACCTTTCATCTAATAATAATCTGTCTTAACAGAGTTGATGATATGAATAGACAGTTAAAACTATTTCATGAGCCCTAATAATAACAAAGTTTTTAGTACAATCATTTAGGTCCCTGTCCCTTAACACAATTGCCTTTCTTTACTTAGTTGAATTTAGTCATTAGTTTCTACAGCACTGCAGTTTCCCAAGGAAATGAAAAAGAAATACCTAGAGGTTTGATTGGTACAAAAAGTTTGTGATCAGGAATAATAAGTCCTCCCGGGTTAAACTTGCTTCGAAGAATTGCTAATGAGGTATCTGGGGATGCCTCATACTCAGAAGAAAGCCTCCAAGCCAGTTGTTTTAGTTGTTTTTGCCCGACCACCCTGCTTTACCCCCACCATGCACTTTCTGAATTTAAAGTCCCATCTTGTACCTGACATTCATACCTGCTAATGGTTCCCCATGGAAACTCATTTCTTGCACAAAATACAATCATAAAGACCCAAAAATAGAATTCTAAGCCAGCAAACAAAGTTTTTAGATTCAGTTATATATTCAGGTGCCCAAGAGAGAAAGGTTTATTTATTTATTTTAATTTTATACACAGTGACTTCCTCATAAACCTGTTTGTTTTGCATATTTAAATATTTCCTTTGCCTCATATATTTTACCCTGATTTTTAAAAGCTACTTTTTAATATGCTACTTGAAGATTTGCCAAGCATTTTACACACATTATTTCATTCATTCTTCACAAAAAATTTGTGAGATTCTTATTTCTCACTCCTTTGGGTTGAAGAATCTGGGCAGCTAAGTGAGGAAATCTAGAGAGTGCAGGACTTGGAGTCAGGAACATCTGAGTTCACATCCTGCCTCAGACACTTGCTAACTATATGACCTTGGGTACATCACTTAACTTATCTCAACTTTAGTTTCTTCATCTGTAAAATGGGAGGGTAGAGAGAAAAATACATTGAATTTAGAATCGGTAAACCTTGTTTTTGAGCCTTGTTTGTGTCTATGATCTACTACCTCTTTGGCCTTGAAGAACTCATTCTTCTCTGAATCTATTTCTTCATCTATAAAATGGAGATAATAATACCTACTATAATTACCTCATATGAGAAAAATGTATATGAATGTCTTTATTATCATAAAGCTGAATATATATTTATTACTATGCTCCTCTTAAAATAGAATGCTTTAGAGAGGTATGACAGTGCAATCATTCCTCAGCTTTCCCAACTGTTCACATCTTAGTGCCTTCTCAGTTAATCAGCTCCTCAGTCACCCAGCAAGACCAAAAGGAATAGCCAAGGGCTTGGGAACCTTTATTGGGTCCTCGTAGTGTCTAGGATAAAACACACATTCCCAGCCTGATATATAATAATTCTTTTATAGTCTGGCTCCAGCCTACTTTTATGTGTTTATTGTGTATTATACTACTTCAGGAACCATGTGTTCCAGCAAACAGATCTACTTTCTGCTCTTCAACTTCTGTTTCTGTTTCTTACTTCTGTTGACCTCGAGATCCACATGCATAATGATAGCTAGCATTTAAATAGCCTTTAAGGTTATAAATACGATCTCATTTTATCCTCACAAAACCCTAGGAGATAGGTACTATTATTAAGCCACTTTTACCGATGAGGAAATTGAAGGAAACAGGTTAAGTGACTTTCCCAGGATCACTTTGTGAGACCAGATTTGAACTCAAGTCTTTCTGATTCCAGGTATAGAATGCTATTCACTCTGGCACCTAGCCTCCTTTACACAGACCTGGAATGTAATTTCCCCTCAACTACATCTCTTCTGATCCCTGGTTTAATTCAAGGTTCAGTTCATGGGTCACATGAAGTCTTTCCCAGTTCCCCCATTTTAATTTCTTTCTCTCCCTCTCTCTCTCTCTCTCTCTCTCTCTCTCCCCCCTCTCCCTTGATGCTTCAGTTAGGTTGCTTTGTCTGCCTTGCAAGTGGAAAGCGAATGCCTTATACTATAATTAGTCTAGCCATTTCCTAATTGATGTTCATCTATTTTTTTTATTACATTCATAGCTGCTTAAGGGTAAGGACTGTCTTTTGTGATTTTTTTCTTGTTTGTTTTTGTATGCCCTATGCTAAGTACAGTGCCTGGCACATTAATAAATGTCTAGAGATTAATTGATTTCTAGTTCATTACCACTTCAAAAAATATTGCTATGAATATTTTGGTGCATGTAGAATTTTTCTCTCTGTCTCTGACATCCTTGGGAATATGCCTAGTAGTGAGATTACTAGGTCAAAAGGGACAGATAATTCTATCATTTTCTTAGTGTATTTCAAAATTGCTTTTCAATTTAATAGTTTTACCAATTTAACAGTTCTATCAAGAAGAATTGGTATACCTCCTTTTACAACTCTTCCAAGATTAAAAATTTGCACTTTTTGTCATACTTGCCAATTTATTGAGGGTAAAATAGGACTTCAAAAATATTAAGCTCTGCATTTCTCTTATTAATAGTAATTGGGGAAAGCATTTTGTATGCTTATTAGTATTTTGTAATTCTACATTTGAAAAATAGTTGTATTATTGGCTCCACTTATTCTTTGAGGAATGGCTCTTGGTCTTACGTATTTTTATTATTTCCTTTTACGTCTTGGATATCAGACCCTCACTGGAGATATTTCACGTAAAGATTTTTTTAGTATTAAAAACTTCCCTTATTCTTCTAGCTGCATTGATTCTTGTTAATGCAAAAGCTTTTTAATTTCATTTAATGCAAATTTTCTTTTTTATTGATAGTCCCTATTGTACTTATCTAGCTAAGAATTTTCCCCTTAGCCTGTGAAAGGTGTCTGGTCTTGTTATTTTGCAAATTGTTTTATGGTTTAAACATCAATATTCACACCTATAATATTTTTATAAAAATCTTGATGTGATTTATCTTATAATCTACAGATTTTCATTGCTCCTATATGCAAGACAAAACTAAGCAAAAGAGGAATTTCTAGGTAAAGAATTCCAAATTTATTTCAACTCATATATCTTTGTTTGGTAGGGGAAATTCTAATATATTTACTAGTTTTTCTTTCTAAATACATTGCTGTGACTGAATGCCAGGTCTGGTCATAACCAAAATATAATGATCATAACCTATAGTTTTCCAGACATTCTCCTATCACTCTTACAAAACTTAATTGGGCTTAGTTTAGATCTACATGAAGATGACATTTGATTATCACAATATTGTATTTAAATCTGTCCATCTCAGGCATATCAGAAATGTCTTTCTTGTCCAGATAATTTCACTTTTCCTCCAGGGCAACTGTTTCCTATTAAGTTAAAGTTTATCCAAGCATTTCATATTTAATTTTTATTATAATTCTTCTCATCTCAGCTTTCAATGTGGTTCTCAATTTAATATTGTTCCAAGCAAAAACTATATTACATATGAGCTTTCAATTTTGATACATTTTAAATTTGAGCTTAAAATATGATAGATTCAATTGATTCACTCATTCAAGTACCTGTAATATGTAATATGGTAGATATTAAGTTAGATACAAATTTTAGACAACAGAGGAAATCTATCACTATTGTCCACAATCTGAGAACCCTAAGACATTTTAGGATAAAGGATAAGTCCAAGACCTGGATGCTTATATGAAATTGTGATAACAATAGACATCTTGCAGTCATAGCATCTAGAGATTAAAGTAACTTCAGAGATATATCAGTTCTTCCTCATGATTTCATATGTGAGAAAAATGCGTCTAGAAAAATAAAGTGTCTTAACCAAGATGAAACAGGTATCAAGTAGTAGATTTGAGAGTTGAACCCAGGGAACCTAACTTCAAATCCAGGGTTCACTTTGTTACACCATTTTGAGAATAATCTGCATAAGAGTAACCATAATTTTGGAGAATGTGAACAGACCTTTGCCAGGGTTATTTGACACTGAATATTAATCCTCCCTTGGACCTGAAGATTCTCCTCAATAGATTGCCTAGAGCCTCTTTCACATCCTTATTTCTCAGGGTGTAGATGAAGGGATTGAGTGCAGGGGTAACAACACCATAGAAAAGAGCCATACATTTAGGCTGATCCCTGGTGATATAAGAAGGAGGCTGGAGGTACATACTAATTGCAGGGCCATAGAACAAGAAGACAACAATGAGATGGGAAGAACAGGTTCCAAAGTCTTTCTTCCTCCCCTCAGAAGACTGAATTTTCATAACAGCCCGTCCAATATAGGCATAGGAGGTAATAACTAAGGCCAAAGGAATAGCAAGGAAAAATACACAGACCACAGAAAGCCCAAGTTCATTGGAACTCTTATCACCACAGGCAACCTTGATCAGTACAGGAATCTCACAGACCACGTGGTCTAATTCATTGTGTCCACACATTGGCAGCTGCAAGGTCAAAGTGACCTCTGATATAGCATAAATGAGGCTACTTAACAATACAATGGACACAAGTAAGATACAGATCTGATGGTTCATGATTAGGGTGTAGCGAAGTGGTGTGCAGATAGCCACATAGCGATCCAAAGACATGACAGCTAGGAGAAGACACTCTGAGGCCCCCATAAAATGGAAGAAGTAAAGTTGAATGGCACATCCTATATAACTGATTGTCTTCTTTGAACTCCCCAAGTTGAACAACATCTGGGGAACGATGCTTGTGGTATAACAGATGTCCAGCAAGGAGAGATTAGAGAGGAAAAAATACATGGGGCTGTGGAGGTGGTGGTCCAGCCTACAGACTAGAATGATGGAGATGTTTCCCAGCATGGTCAAGGGGTAGATGAAAAGGAGAATGAGGAACAGAGGAAGCTCCAGCCATGCATGGTTTGAGAAACCTAATAAGATAAACACTTCTGGAAGACTTTCATTGCTCCCTGACATGATCTTCAGTAGCCTGCACCTGTGGGAATCAACAGAAGTAGAATCAGATCAAAGCAATGTCGGAATTAAAAAAAAAAAACAGTTTCATGGCCAAAATAGCTATCAAATAGTTAGGATTTTTATAATATATCTATAAGTGAATCACAGAGGTCATCAAGACTCACTCATGCCCCAAAAGAATCCTCACTGTAACATATCCATCAAGTGGCTCGAATACCTTTAAGGATGGGAACACAGTGCATCTTGAGGTAACCAGTTTCATTTTAGTCATTCATCCCCTATCTCTGGTCAATGTAATCAATGTCAAATTCTTTGTAAACTGAACATTTTCTTATTCTTAATCCATGATATTGTTACTTTTATTATCAAAGATTAAAGAAAAATCTTCACAGAGACTTCTTTTTCAACTGCCCACTTCTCCATTAAACTAGAGAAGAGTACTGTCAAATCATTGTAAAAGTGAACAATCAGAAGGAATTTTTGTTTGTTTGTTTTTGGTTAGGCAATGGGGTTAAGTGACTTGCCCAGGGTCACACAGCTCATACATGTTATGTGTCTGAGGCCGTATTTGAACTCAGGTCTTCCTGAATCCAGGGCCAGTCCTTTATCCACTGTGCCACCTAGCTGCCCAGAAGGAATTTTTAAAGGATGAACTCTTTACATTCTGATGGAAAGGGAGAAAGAAGAGTGCTCTTAGAATCCTAATGCCACAAGGGATCTTAGAGGTAGGCAATTGAGACAGAAGTCCTATAATTTTACTATGTTCCAAAGGTGCTGTGAAAAGAAGGGGGGGGGAGTGTACACATTAAGGGAAAGTAGGATAAAAGATGAGTGTGTATTAGTATTTCACTACCACAAATTATCTAATCAGGTTTTCCTCACATGGAGGTTTATCCACATGACAATGACAACAGTATAATCTGGGCAAACCATCACCAAAATTTTATTTTCACCTTCAATGGAACATGAAAATGTTGCATGATATAATAGGTAGTGTGCTGGATATGGAGTCAGAAGGACCTCAATTCAAATTCCAACTCTGCTACTTGCTAGCAATGATCATGTTGCTTACGTTGTCTGAATCCCTTTCATCACTCTAAAACCCTAAACAATAGATAGACAGACAGATAGATTGATAAATTGATAGATAGGTGGATGGATAGATATTTGATATGCATTGATGGAGTTCCCAGGCTGATGAAATCATAGGTCCTTGACAAATGTCATATTTTTATGACATATTTCATATTTTAAGATAGATAAAACATTTATTAAGCATTTACTGCATTCTATACATGCTAAACACTGAAAATATAAATACAAGTTAACAACACAGTTCTTACCAAGGAGCTCTCATTATAATAGGGGGAAGACAATGTGTAAAAAGGATGTAGAAAGTTTATTTAGAAGGAATGAATCAAATTCTTTCCTTCCTTTTTGCTGTGTCAGGTTGGGAATATATATTACTTTGGCATTTGCATTTTTCAACTTTTCCCTGAAGGCTTTAATTTCTGTCCTTAAGTCCACCCTTATTTCTTTTATAGCACTTTTATTGTTCTTCTGAAATATTTTGAAAGTACTGGTAATTTTCCCATTGTCATTTCATTTTAATAGTTTTCCTTTCCTTGAGAATTTTTCAGTCTATCATGCTTATTCAATACATTGAATAATAATAATCCATCATGCTTACTCAATACATTGACTACTTTTCTAAATTATTTGCTCAATTTTTCTTACTTTATCAATCTCTGCTACTACCATTTGTTTTCCTAGATAAACCTTGCAATTGGTATTCTTAAGAGATGACTCTTCCTTTTGTAGTAGAGTTTTTGTACAGGCCCAACCTTGTTGGAGCCCTCCCCCAACCAAGGTAGCCTATTACACCTTCTGAACACAAAGACTGGTGACCTCTACCATTTCTCCTTATTGGGGCATGGGGTGTCCAGCTGAGCAACCACCACAACCTGTTTCTTTTCTTTCTGTGTGTTTCCTGTAGTGACGTCACCAACTCTTTGAGTATAATTGCCATGAAGACTAGAATTTAAGTTATTTGATACAGACATTATTTAATTTGTTTTACTTTGTATCCCCAGGTTCAAGCATGAAGACTTGTATAATGAATTGTGCAGGCAATTCCTAAATGTATGAGTACAGTCCTGATCTGCCTGAGACACATCAAATCCTGTGCTCCATCTTCCACCCTTGCAAGAAACCAAGAGTTACCATTTTCAAGTCTACCTCAAATAGTAGGCCCGTATTTCCAGGAGGCAATGCATCACCTGTGCCTCAGACCTTTCACCTTTAAGGACACGAGCTTGGGTACCATGCTTCTTGCCTATAGAACCAGAAATTCCAACAATTGCCTCTCATCTCAAGGATTCTGTCCAAAAGTAACAACTAGGATGAGTCACTAACCAAAAAACCAATTCCTCTTCTCTACTATTCAAAGGCCTCTTGAGGGCAGGAAGTCCCAGATAACAGGTACTGTATCCTCTATGGATGGTAAATTCCTCTATAATATTATTTCAGTCCCCATGATATGGAATTTTCATTTACTTAATAAAAAAGTAACCACTCATTTCCTAGTTTCTTATCTCCATCCATCTAAGCCTTACCCCTTCCAGGTCCAGATCTAGATCCTTCTACCCTACCCAATGTGCTCTCTGGAATCTTTTTACCATTCATAATACACTTTCCTTGATCCTAGACCTCTTCATATCATTCATCATTCCATCTTCTTGGTGGTTTTCCAAGATCTGGCCTCCCCAAGAAAACAATTTATTTATCCAAAACCCTGCCAATATTGATTGCACTCCATCTCATACCCCATGATCCACTGGTTGTGGATAAGAAATTGGCTCATCCCTTGTTCCTCTTTGTCAGTTCTTGGCCCTCTCTTTTCACCATCACTCAACAATTTATCTTCCTTTGAAATTTAATCTATTCAAACATATCTCCCAAACCAGATCTTATCATAGTTATCTACTAGACTTCAGGTTATTCTCCCTCCTTTTTCAAGGAGTTCAATACCTGATCATCATCTTTCTCTACCTATTTAATACTGTTTTTATACCAATGCAATTTAAAATACATAATGATGTTCCTTTAAACACCTTGACATATAATTTCCACACTTGACTCATATTGATCATAATGAAGATACAGGTGATGGAATAGAAAATATATTCCTAAAAGTTCTTTTTGGTGCTTTGAATAAATTAAAAAGATAAATGTTTTTGTACTCACCCACTCTTGGGATGAAAGCCTTCTTTTAAATACAAACAATTGTGAAGGATAAAAGTGGAATTAAAAGATGTCAAGAAAGTTTTTAAGAGAATGAAGAATTCACAGTCCAGAGATAAGTACCTTAAGTATTAGTATCAAGACCATGTATTCAAAAACAGTTTTACATGAGGACACTTATGGGCAGGTAAGGAAATACGGTGTGGAAACATGACTCGTTAATGGTGAAAGGTATTGGTTGCTAATTTTTCACCTTTGTTCCAGTCCTAAGGGTACAAGGATTGTTTTCAAACAGGACTTTTGTACCTGTATCAGACAGTTCAAAAGGGAGTTTGTGTGTGTGTGTGTGAAAGCTCCCTGGAGAAAATATGTGCCTCTCTGGTGCAATTATTCCCTTTGAATCAGATTGCATCAGTGTTGGTGACATTTTTACGTAGTTAGTAGGACAAGTGTAATCATCCATTACAGACAATTTAAAAAAGAGAACTGAACTAGATGCCTGCATTTAGAACATGCCTTTACTAATTGGGGCATCATTTTAAAATGTAGACTTAACTAAATTAAATTTTCTTTCAACAAACAAAAATCTACTTTCTCTCCTTCTCACTTTTTCTTTCCCCCAAATGAGAAATCATAACTACTATTACAAACATGTGTAGTTAAGCAAAATAATTTATATTTTTTCCAGCCTCTATCCCCCAATAAAGGTTCACTTTTCACTCCAAGTCTTGTAATGAATGAAAGAGACATAGTTTCTGGGTAATTAATAATGAATTTATTAATTATGGATAGTAAGTAATTAATAGATCAGTGGTTTTCTCTCATAAATCAAAGGTGCCCCCTAGAGATTGCTTAAAAAGCCTTTGGAAAAGGGTGTGTGCCTAAGGGTGGAAATCAACTCTGATTGGTTAACAATTAATGAGGGGGCTGAACGTATTAATGAGGAGGTGGGTAAAAAGTCTTCAGCTCATCTTTCTGAGAACCTGACCCAAATCATGAGACTCAGCCACCTTCAGCAACCTGGACAAAAGAATTCATCTCTACTCATACTGCTCTGGCTGGTTTTCCCTTTAAAAGCTGAGTCACTAGTGGAAATGTTTCAAGGACAGGAGTTTATTTCCTAAGGGCAAAATCTTGCCTAAACTGGATTCTGTGTGTAAGGTCTTCTGGTTGAGTGGAGTCCTACCCAAGATTGGGAAGCATGTACCCAGAGAATTTGGGCAATCTCATCTATCAGAAATGTCTTTCTGAGAGACTGAAAAACTGAATAAACTAAGGGCTGGTTTCTGAATGAGAAAATAGGAATGAAAACCTTAATTCTAATTTAATAATTGGCTATTAATATGAGAAATAATCATGTTTATCATTTTCCCATTAGATTCTGTTGATAGACATAGTCTCCTCAATGAATTGGCAACTGATAAGACAAACACTTCATCATAACTATGAGGGTTATGATGGGAAACAATGTGAGGGAAAAAGAAGATTGATTGATGCATTGATATGACCCATTAGAGGCAGTCCTCTTTGGTAAGCAGATCTTGCAGAGAAAAGGCACATAAGGAAAAAGTAAATAAAAAAAAATTGTCCATTTTATAGGTCTATCTATATCTGTATCTATCTAAGTCTCATCTCATACAGCAATTTGGTTCTCTGGAAATATCTCTTGATGCAGCCCTCTTGTCTAGGTGTGGTCTCAGAGCAGTTTCCAGCTGACTGGCTTTTCCAATTCAGGTCATTTGTAGAGATCTCCTTTT